TCCCTGAGAGCCAGAAGAAAAATGAATGTGCCGTGGAAAGTTTAGGCTAAACTTTGGGTAAATGTTTCTTGTGAGGTTTTAAAGGTGGATAACAGCTAACAATGAAATAAAGATCAGTTAATCCAAGAATGACCATGGCCTGACCTACGAAAAGTAAAAATATGTCCAATAAAAGTCATTCAATTGTTCATTCATGGATTTGACACCATTTATTAAATAATTTCTCTGTGGTAGTCAAGTGGAATCAATGGCTAAAGAGTGGTTTGAAGCTTCAGGATTCCATATCCAGAAAAAAAAAAAAAACCCTAAAAATATCTTGTATTTTTTTTAAGAAACAGAATAATAGGTTCCCTTTTTTTGGATGACCAGATAACCAGAATTTAAACCTTACATCATTTTCTCTTCCTATTTTGTACCATATTACTTTATATAAGGGTGTATTAAGGACAAGAGGCAAAGAACAAAGTTACTGAAAATCAAATAAAAATATCTGTACTTTCTTATGACTAAATTCTAAAAGATGTTCTACCGTTAAGTAATAGAGCTTAGTTTTGGTTCTACTTGGCTGTTTCGCTGAACGAAGTCTTCATTAGGACAGCAGGCCACCACCAAGAGGCATACTTTGAAAGATCCCCTTGCCTCCTCCAACTTGCTGACAGAACCATCTTTGGATCCATCTACCTGGATGACAGTTTCCCACCCTACAGAACCCCACTGCCCCTGTGCTGTCTCCAGCCTGGAGCTATCCCCAGTGTCCTTTGCTATTCTCTGAAGTCTATCAGTCTGAAGTAATGGGATCATAAAACACCCAATTGGCAGGATTTCTACACATTGAACCATTAAGTTGAAGACAAGTTCCTTGGCAAGTAATTGTTGACTGTAAAACTGTTACTCATTTCAAGTTTTCTCATTTATTTATTTACTTATTTATTTTTATTTTTCTTCCTGTTTAGTTCTTTGGCTGGGACAGAACCCCTTGGAGATGTCAGCTCAGTAGCATACCTGATTTCCAATGCCTACCTGATGCTTCCCTTTACTCTAAGAAGAAGACACACTTTGGATGTTCATCAAATTATTTTTTCCCCTCCATCCACCTCCATTTTCTGAGCTGACTCACTTCCCCTCACACCCACCCCATAATCATTTTCTTTATTTACTTGGTCTCATTGAAAGATATGGCAGCAATCTCTTCAGTTACAGAGTTTGATTAAAACAGAATAAATTATTGTCAATTACCAGAGGCCAAGAGGATGGCTAAGCCTCTCTGAGCAGCCTGATCCAGAAAAATGAAACCCATGGGCTGCTGTGATGTGATTGGAGAAACCCTGGGTGAGGTCTCTTTGGCATCCTCACCCGCTGTCATAACTCAGAATCTCATTTTGGTCGCTCCTTTCATGTAGTCACCAAGAGCATCCTTGGAGTCAGCAGGATCCTACTCTGCCCCCTTAATCACGTGAACTTAACTAAGCCACTTACCATGCCAGAGCCTCAGTTTCCTTTTCTGGGGAAAAGAGATGATAAAACCCACCTCAAGGGCTGGTAGGATGATGCTATGAGATGCAGTATATAAAATACCAAGAACACTTCCGTATATGTTAGGTAACATTTTTCAGCAACAATATTACCTAGGAGTTGTAATATATCAAACTGCTAGATGTTCTACCAGCCCAAATCAGTGCTCTGATCAATTTGACCAAGAGCAGAAAGTTGAGGGAACTGTACAAAGTAAGTACTTAGGAGCACATAGAAACACCAGTGATATTAACAGGGTCATGCTGGACTGAAACAAAAATATGAAAATGTGTGGAATGTCTGCTTGACCACATGGAAGCTAAGAATGTGCTTGGAAGAATGTTAAAAAAAATGACTATTTCACAATTGTGTAAGCTTTTCTACTTTTCCCTTCTACAGTAAATAATAGACTTGAATAGATAAGTAATAAATCCATTTCCACAAGGCTCTGCTGGGTTTCATGGTGGAATGGATATTCTGTGTTCACAATCTTGTTACAGACAAGGGAATCTCACTGTTAGTTCACATACAAGGAGTTTCTTGACCTGGATTTGATCTTCTTTCCTGCCTTCCTCTCCTGCAAATTCCCCACATGAAGATGGGGCAATAATCACACCAAACTGTCTTGAAAGTAGTGATTTCTATATTATTTCACATTTCCCTGTCTGAGCTTATGGAGGTTCTACCTACCTATACTACACTAACTTTAGCTAACTTCCTCTGGTCCTTCAAAACCTGTCACTTACCCCAGCCCATATCCACCACAGCTCTGGGCACATCTATACTTATATTTATTACCAAATTCATCGCACAATACATTTATTGCTAACTAACTAGCTTTTTCTTTCTCAATGTTCTGTGAGTTCCTCAAGGGCAGAGACTATAATGCCCTTGACTTTCTCTGCACAGCAGACTGCTTGACTGGCAAACACCAGGCACACAGTAAACAAGTGATGCATGAGTAAATATCAGATGGACTAGTAAGTACAGTTGCTTCTATAACAAAGTATTTTCCAGATTCATGTATAACAGGCTGTGATGTCCTGAGACAAATGAGTGAAATCCAGAAGAGTTAAATCAGGAATTTCAGCCTCTTCTCCTTCTCAGCCTCTGCTCTCATCCTTCGTAAGAATGACAGAAAGAACTCCCTGATTTTGCCTGAATTTTGCCTTGAAATGATCAACATGTTATTCTTGTCACAGTGAAGTAGGCATCTTTACGAAAGGAAGTTCAGATCATTTCTCTTGATCCTTGTAATGTGGGTTGTTGAACATAATTTATATCTAAAATTAAATGTTGCTGCCCCTAAAAAAGGTCACTTGCCACAGAAAGTGGCAGATAATGGAGTTTTTCCCTGACTGTAAAGGAACTGGAAAGGGTTATGAAATATGCAATAACCTCTATGTTGATAAAGGTTTGATGGTGCCAGAGTTGACAGAAAGGACATTTTGAAACACTCCTCTAAGTACAGCTTAGATGATGAAGTCAAGTCAACATATTAAGGGTTCAAAGCTTAGTGAACTTGTGAGTGGGTCAATGGAGGAAGAGACTGGAATCTGAGTAAAAGATGGTCAGTGGAAAGTCCCAGAGAAGACAGTGTGGAAGCTCATCAACATGGTGACCTCTTTTCCACTTTTAATCAATGTGATGTCATTCTCCCCCACTGCCCCTAATTGCTCAATAAATTAAGCCCAGCCCTGGTTGGTTATTCCCTAGGAAGAAAAGACACTGAGGTGGTGTTCAGTATGGAAATGGCCACATCACAGGGAATAAAACAGTGAGCAAAAATGAAGAATTCAGCCAAAAGGGAGTGAAGGTAATTAGGAGAAACACTTCCCCTTCCCTTTATATTCTACTGCCCCATATCAGCTTCCCTGATTATACATAATGAAATAAAGGTGTTTCCATTCAGATCTATACATCTATAATTTTCTGATATCAAGCATAGAGAAGAGGAATTAATGAATCATACACAAGAAAAGTGAATCTAATCTAAGCTTCAGGTCATTTTAAATACAGTTTCCTGGCAACAAAACCATTTAACTTCTCCATACATATCTCTCAAGAACGATTTTGTGGTCACCCCTCCTCCTTAAAGGTCCTCTAAATTCATCTATTCAGCTAAGTACCACTGAGTTTCTACAAGGAATAGATCTTGAGGGATATAATATTAAAAGAGACACAGTCCCCATCCAAAATATGAGTTATATTTTATTGCACTCCTCCATGATGTTATGAAAGAAAGCACTGCAGGGTAAAGTGGAGGCCCAAATAATGGAGAAGTCCAAACTACCTCCAGTCAACTTTGTCTGATTTTACCCATGTACAATCAGGTAAGGCATCCAGGTAACTTGTCTTGGAGCCCAAGCAGCCCTACAACATTCTGAAGAAGTGGCCCATCTAGTAGAACCCAGTGGAGGCAAGTGTTTGCTCTTTTCCTCATTGAATTAAGAGTTTGACTCTACCTTAAATTTCATTCAAAACATCCCCTGCTGTTATCAATTTAAACAGTGAAGAAAATGTACTTAAAAGAAAATTCAAGTGGGTTGAGAGCAGCTTGACATAGGAATTTTTAATTATAATTGAGCAGAATTTCATGAAGCAAGCAAAATTACAAAGCTAAAACTGAAGAATGCCTTGAATTTAGTGAAAACAAAAGCAGGTTTGGAAATGTTCTGTGCATATTTTTATAATACAGTGAAAACAAGGCAGTTCACCTGGAGGACAAAGAGAAAGTAGATGTTACGGATATTAAAACCAAAAACTAAGCTTTATCTTATGAAATCAACATGATGTGAAGAGCAAGAATGACCCTCGTCCCAGCCATAACTGAGTTCAAGTTCTGGATCTGTCACCCAATACATGTGTATAACTTTGGAAAAATTATTTAACTTCTCTGTAAACTGTATTCTTCAATCTTAAGATGCAAAAGTGGGAAAATTATAAGGAATTAATAAGTTTTTTGTGAAAACTAAGTAGATGTTCATTCCAATTTTAGTATATGTGCTGCCGAAGCGAGCACATAAGTAGATGTTCAATAAATATAAATTTTCTTTGCTATATTTTTATTCCATGATAAGGTAGCCTGGTGACTGAAACATCAGTGGGAAAATGGGAAAATGAAGATATGGTCTGTACAATTGCACATCCTTATCTCCCACACTCTCTCCCAGAACCTATAGTCCACACATTACAGAAACACCAACTAAGTCACAAAGCTTAATACTACATTTCATTCTATTGTACAAAATGGAATGTTCAGACTATAAGGAGGTTTTGATGTGACAATGTGTTTTATGTTATAAACCTCAGTGATATCCCTAAAAGTACTAGAACTGGCAATTTTCAAAGTTAAAAACAATCACAATCATTAGGGAGACCTAGTTCATAACTGAATTTCTCATCCATGTCTTTTTCTTTTGGGGAAACTTTATGCATCAATTAATGTGCTTCCCCCACAACTGCAGAAAGATCATGATCACCATTACCATTCATCCTTGTCAGCATCACAATTGCAGAAGTGTTGAATGTCCAGACAACTCTCATCCAGGCCACATTCACACTGCTGAACCCCAGGTGGGGCACCTCCCCAGTAAGGGTGCCTTTCATTGGACCGCCCAATCCACCAGGTATATGGTGTTCCATCTGAAAGACAAGAGAATTTGCAGAGGGTGTCAAAAGCTTACATGGAAATGTTTTGAAGAATAAGTACATATTTACACATATTACATATATATATATCTATATAAAATGTTTTGAAGAATAAGTACATATTTACACATATTACATATATATATCTATATACATATATCTCTATATGCAATATATATGTATACATACACATATCTGTATATATCCTCCCTCTCTCATTTCTTCTCTTTTTTTTCTTCCTTTCTTTCCTCCTTCCTTTCTCTCTCTCTCCCTGTATATGGATCTATCTATATCATCTATATCTATCTCTATATATACATAGTTACAAATCTCTCTCTACCTGTATATATCCATATACACATCTATATCTATACCCATATCTATAGACATATATAAATACAGATATAACACTTTCATGAAAAATATTCACACAGTAGGACGTGGATCAATCACAATGTTCAGAGGCAGGGTCGCAAACTAAAATCAGACAGGTACCATAGTTAAGTAAATTGGGCCAGATTGCAGACCAAAGATTTTTAAGATACAGATACAAAAATTATTTCATTATAAAACTATCAAAGGAAAAACAACAGCATGAGGGCCAAGATTGCCCTGATATTAGTTCTCAGTTTCTGATAGACTCTGAGGACAAGTATTTCAAATTCAAAGATTTTAAGGGAAAAAAACAAAACCTGTTGAAGATCAGTACTCCATGGGCCAAATAATTCCTTCTTAAAGTCATATTTAACCCATAGGAAGTTGATATATAAACTCCAATTTCTGGTTTATGTAGTTGACAGAAAACTACTTTGGAGTCTTTGTCAATTTCTTTCTTCCTTTTTTTTTTTTTTTCAAAGCTTAGTTTAGTAAAATCAGTTGGAGTTTTCTTTTATGATTGAGAATATTTCAGTAGATTAAAGTTATTACTGAGAAGATAATAGTGTATCCAAGCAATAGGTTATAGGCAGAGTTGGAGGTATTATACATCATCAGCCTGCACGGAGTTAGGTCCAGGTCCCTTTGGAAATTGCTGTTTTGTTTCTGTTTGGCATACAACAGGCACTTAACATGTGATTATTTAAAAAATGAAAGAAATGCTTATTAGGGACCACTTTTTAACGATGTACCATTTTATTTTTTAATTTTTTTATTGTTATGTTAATCACCATATATTACATTAGTTTTTGAACGATGTACCATTTTAAAGTAGAATAATACTTGTCTGATGATGTTACTAGGTTGGAATTTTGCTAAGTCAAGATTTAATTGTACATACAACTCCTGATTTACAAACACATAATTTACAAATTATTTGTGTATGCACAGATAGCAACAACATTCTCCACATTGCTCTCACTGCTAATATCCCTATGGAAGTCACTGAGGCAAGTAGGAAGAGAAATGACAATCTGGAGCTTCCAAGAATCAGTAGGTCATGAGGAAAAGATCAGGAAGATACTATGAAAAGCAAAAGTATCTTAGGTTACTGAGTTAGAGGGAGGACAGCCTGAAGGACCATACTCACCCCAAAATAACACACCTGATTCTGCCTAAAATGTTCCAAGCCCCTGTATTATCTTTTAAACTAGAATTCTAGTTAGCAATGTCTGTTAACCAGACTCTTCTTTTTAAATACTAACTCTCAATGGTATAAATCCATTTTCCCTAGTTTCAAACAGCTATAAATCATGGAACAATAGTTCAAATGAATTGTTTTATTTCTAAATTCTAGCTTAGATAAGCCACACTCATGTAGCCTAGAGAACTGGTGGGTCTATTTAGGGCACAGATCACTACTTTTGGGAGTGGAATAAGCTTAGATCAATTTTCTCACTGTGTGGGTCCAGGGAACACAAGGGTAAAATATTGTATATATGAATATGTTTACCAATGTTGGCTTTCAGTCCAAAAGAAGGGGAAGAAATCTCCCCACCTCTCCGTCCTTCTGGCACTGTTCAGGCCTCTCCCCAGTAATCTTGAATCCAGATCACATAGTAATGTTCAATGTCATCATGGGTTATTGTTGTTTATGAGCTAAACCAAGGTTGTAATCAATTAATAGCATCATTGCTAATGGTATGGTTTCTGAACAACAAATTTATGCACAGGTTCTGCTGTCTATGTTGCTTTCTAGGAGTTTTACCAATTCTCACTTGGTATCTTAAGCCCCTAGAAGTTTCACAGCAGCCAGAGGCTTTGTTTTGTTTCAAATCCATCAGTGTCTTGTAGAACTGAGGCTTGGGGTCCCCTCCTCATTTCTGGAAATTAGTATAAAGGTTTTAAATTGTGTTAACTGAATGCATGTCAATGAGTAAGAAGAAAGGAAGGGAAAAGAGGGGAAAAATACACACACACACACACACACACACAGATATTTGAAAGCAGAAGAATCTTTGTTAAATTTTCCTCTCAGATGTCCCACCTTTGTGTTTGTTTTCCTTTGAAGCATAACAAACAAGGAAACTGAAGATCAAAAAGGATGGGACTTGCCCTGATTCATGACTCCAAAGATATAGTCAGGAAGGGAATCTACACCTCTGCTGCACATTTCAACCACTGGAGAAATTGGATTTGTTTTCTTCTGACCAGGTGTTTAAAAAAAGTGAAGGAACAAAGCATGATTATAAATATATAGACATACCTCAATATGCATTCATTCAACAAATATTTACTGAAGATCTATATTATTCCAGGAAATACTCTAGGTACTTGGGATAAATCAGTTTAAGACAAACCAAACCAACCAAGCAAAGAAAACATGCCCAAAAATCTTACATTGTAATTATAGGAAACAAACAATAATAATTAAATAATTTCCTATATTTTTATTTATTTATTTGAAAGAGAGAAAGAGGGAGGGAGATGGAGAGGGGCAGAGAGAGAAGGAGAGAGAGAATCTTAAGCAGGCTGCATGCCCAGTGCTTAGTCTGACACGGGGTTTGATCTCATGATCCTGTGATCATGACCTGAGCTGAAATCAAGAGTTGGATGCATAAATGACTGAGGCACTCAGGCACCCCAACAATAATTTCGTATTAAGAAAGGAACAGGAGGTATGGAAACAATACAAAAGACCAAGGTAAGGTAGGCTACAAAAAGGGTGGGCTGCAATTTTAGAGTGGTCAGGATAGAAATTGATTAAAAAAAAATAAACTTTGAGCAGAACTTCAAAGAGGAACAAGTGACACATGACTGGCCATCTGGAGGATAACACAGCAAACAAAGGAAACATTCAATGTAAAGGATCAGTGAATGTAGGATCAAAGTAAAATAAAGGAATTTCCTAAAATCTATCACCAGGTTTTCAAACTATGATTTTCAAAATTTTGAGGAAACTCTAACTGGAAGTTTCAATTAAAAAAAAAGGTAGCAGGAAATGGGCAAAATAGAACATATATTGATCAAGTTCTTGGCTACAGGCTAAGAATTCTTTCTGATAGTTTCAAGCCAAAGGGTATTTATTAAGAAGATATCAGGCAGCCACAGAACCATGACCAGGGAAGAAATGGGCTTTTGGCAATGGGCTCACCAGGTTGTTCACCGGACTGAGGAGGAAACTCTGCCTGGCTCACTGCCCTTGAAAGTTAAATATTGGAGACTGACTCAGCCAAAGATGTTACGCTGCCAGCACCACAACCACTCCTCTCTAAGGATCTCAGGTCAATAGGTCCCATCCTCCCAAAGAGAGAAGTTTCTGTGGCCCCTGATTCTAACCCTCAGAATAGAATATCCATGCAGAGCCTGCTTCCCAGCACTCACCTCCAGTCAGAGCTGCACACAGGGGTCTGATTAGGGAAGCACAGATGACATGCCTGCATCCCAGCTGGAAAAGAGCCTGGGGAAGTGGATTCTGACTTGCTGCAGAGGCAGGACTCACAATGTGAATTTTCACTAACACAGAAATGCTATTCAAAAGATATGGAGCAGGTATGAATAAGACAAATGGTGGGATGCCTGGGTGGCTTGGTCACTTAAGCATTTGCTTTTGGCTCAGATCATGATCCCAGAGTCCTGGGATTGAGTCCTGGCATTGGGCTCTCTACTCAGCGGGAAGCCTGCTTCTCCCTCTGCCTGCCCCTCTCCTTGCTGTGCTCTCCCTCTCTCTCTGACCAAAAAAAAAAAAAAAAAAAAAAAAAAGGACAAATGGCTGTCCTGGAGCTAAACACACACTTAAGTGTCGCTTAATGGATCAGAACTCTAAATTGATAGGGACAGAGTTTATGCACTCCAGAAAGGAAGGTCTGTACACTGCTTTGTGCTTCTGGGGCCAGAAGGGTTTTAGGGTCAAACTCTTATCAAAGAAGCAGTGTTTTCATGCACATCACCCGCTATAGGGGACTTCTACAAGAAAACCTAGGAGAAGAATGTGGGAAGACTGAGTCCCCCCTGGAGTATGGCACCACCAGGAACTCAGCAGTAGATACAGAGGCCTCAGAGAGGTATATGCATGATTTAGAAAAAATCACTAAGAAATTTCATTCATTTGCATTACTTTTATGCATTTGGGATTATTATTGTTATGTAACTTCATGTACACCACAAGGTCTGGGAAAATTCATCATATATAAACATATATATATATATAGAGAGAGAGAGAGAGAACAAAAAACCCTCCTAAGAAAGTTTATGGCTTAGAGTGAATGACCTCAGTGTGTGTCAGTAAGTGAGCACAGAAGGTGATCACGCACCTTTTGTTAATACCAAATAGAATATCACCAAACCAAGATCAATCATTTGTCATGAGGCTTATAAAAATCACAATAGGACACATTACTGAGCATGTGCTAGGTTACAGGCAGTATTTTGATGTGCTCTACATATATTAACCTATTTAAACATCACTGGTCTCTAGGAAGTAGGTATTATTTTCCTTCACTTCACAGGTAAAGGGACTGAGGCAGAGAAGGTTTAAATGACTCTCTTGGGGCCATACAATTAGAAAGTTCAGTTAGGACTTGAATCCAAGCAGTCTTGTCCAAGAGTCTATGGGTTTA